TCTGAATGCCGGGTATCAAGCAGATCGCGTTTTGAAGTTGTTCCAGCGGATGGGTTATGAAATATTGCGTGAAGAGATCGGCTCCAAAGATGACTCCCGTTCCCGCGTGGATCACGCATTTCGTCTTTTGGTGGAGAGATTGGCAGGCAGTGCAGACGCAATTGGAGTTGTTTACTTCGCCGGCTGGTGGGAAGCATGGAACCAGATCGACATTTTGCTTCTTCCAAAAAACCTTCGCCGAACCAGGCCGGACCTTGTTCCACCCAGGCGGCCTCAATTTCTTGTGGCAGTGGATGGCACTCACACCCCGTTTGAAGAGACCGGTATTCGCGCGAGGATGTGCTTGAACCGTAATTATTCTGATCGAGGGTCGATTTGCGTAATGTACGCTGGCAGCCATGTGTTTCCACATCGTTTCCTGTTCACCGAGTCCTTGCTACGGCATCTTAAGACTCCTGTGGCGGTCAGACATCTCTTTGCCAAAGTTTGTGGCGAGGTGTTCCAGCACAGTCTCGGGGTTCAGCGGCCTTGGCTCTTCAGCACCGGTGATGCTGACACCGTCCATATTTTTGCTTGCCAGAGTCTGGCGGCGAGTTCAATGCTCACACCCAACTTTGGGACCAACTGCCTCCTCCAGCCTCTATAGGTGTCTTTAGGGTGATTGCAGTCCCACGCAAGCATCAAAAGATGTCGAAAAAAGCTGATTGCCTTTTAGGTGTTAGAGTTTTGCGGCCTTAGAGGTTTTGCAGCTTGAGTTTTAGGTTTAGCGCTTGATGGGATTTGAAGGTCTAGTCTAGGGGCACGGTTTATGCGGGCCGGGGGCTGAGTCTTCTGATTTATCTATTGTCACTGCCCACAGATTTACAGTTTCACACATGTGCTTTTCAAACATCCTAGCAGTTGAGGGATACTCCAGATTCTTAGCTTAGTTCGATATTGATATGCAATCAGCTAGCGCAGCAGAGCAACGTAGCTCGTCATAGGTAGAGCTCATAAAGGCTCTATCGGCTTTTGCTCTCAGATGTTTGTGTACAACCACTTACAGAATTCCAGTGTAATTAGTCAGAGTGTCTTCTTAGTAATAGGTTCTGCGCACGCTGCATATCGAAGCATGTGTCCTCTTCATGTGTGGAGCTGCAAACAGAAGTTGTCAAACAGCTCAAGCAGGGATAAATCGCTCAGGGCACTGAAGCCCAAGCGGCTTCACGCTTAGGAATATTTTGTGGTCGGCATCATGCTCCAATCAGCTGGACAGTTTTGATTGGATGAAGGTTCCGGCGTGGTTTCGTGAATGCAGGGTTTCAGTAGTCACAGTATCTGTGCATCAGTGAGCGCCGCACAAGCGCAACACGCAACATGGCCGGCTCTAGTAGCAAAACTCCCCCCAGAAACACATCCTCTAAACTCTACCTCGATACGCACCTGTCTGCGGAGCTTGACCTCAGCCTATAAGCGCTCTAAACCTACCCTAGCCCTTGCGCCTTACAACGCAAAACCCGTAAACCCTAAGAAACCTTACCCAGCCTAAACTCTTACAAGCGCTAAGAGATCTCTTGAAACCATGGACCCCATATGAGCACCACAATTGATTTGGGATTCCGCCTTTGCTTCCCGAAGCTTTCAAATCTTTAAAGGTTTTTAATTGCGTACCATCTTCTGTTTCATGCAGTTTTGGTATTGTAGTAGCTTTCATCTTCTTTTCATCAGACCCTGGTTAAACAGGATGCTGGCCTCCATGCTCTTTTTCACTTCTTGTGCCCCTACGAACTTTCCATGTGGGTGGTTTCCCATTTATAATCCTTACTTGGCCCTCATATACATCCTAGTCTCCCCATATAACCTTTTGTGAGAGTAGCCACCGACTTGAAGGTTCCTGAGACTTAGTATCTACTTTTACCTGGACTTCCAAAGCTACTTGCAAGCCCCTTACTGGACTTATGTAGGCTATCCGAAGTATGGGTAGGACTATCATGCCCCCTTTTGAACTAGGTACTGAACTTCCTAAGCCCCACGTAAACCTGAAACCGTAAGCTCTAAACCTTAAACTCTATGCCCTATGCTTTTGCTTTTATGTAATAGCTCCCACTCAAAAAATCCAAGCCCTATAAACTGTGTAAGCCTTTCTTATACAGCCGTGATAATGCCTCTAATAGGGATATCCCTATACACCTTACACCCTAAAACCTAACCCCCGCCTTTTGCAAACCTGGAGTCGCCATGGAGCTGCCAGTGCGCTGCCAGTGCTGGCAGCGAGACGGCGCTTTCGGAGGAAAGAGGCTGGGTTCGGGTTTAGAGTTCTGTTTTTAGGGTCCAAGGTGTTGGTGGTTTTTGGGCTTTAGAGGTTTGGGCTCTATAGGGGGTTGGAGTTTAGGGTTTGGAGCTTAGGTTGGATTGGATGGATGAATTTGTGCACCAATTTGGGATCCCGAATGTATTTGTGACCATGGTATACTCTAAGACTTGCTCCATCCGTTTTAAGTCCCGTTGAAGAATAGTGGTTCATAAGCATAATATCAGCGCAGGGACTCAGGTCTAGGTTCAGGATTCGGGACAACGGTTTTTCACACATTGGGATGGCTATAAGCCCCTTGAAGTGAGGTTTAGGGATGAATAGTGTAGTGTTTAGGGCTTGGGGAGGGGTGGGTTTCTGGAGAGGGGCCGGGTCTTTGGCATGGTTGTACGTGTGTACGAGCTAAAGAGGTTCAGGAAGATGACAAAGGTAGGTTGGGCAGAAAACTTCAGGGACGGGAAGATTTGGGATTGGGATGCAGGTTTGGGTCTTGGGAAAGGAAACCAAAAATCACGGTGGTGGAGTAGTGGGAAATACTTGAATAATATTCTGCAGTTGCAGAATAAGAACCCTAGAACCCGAGAGCCCTCAAACCCCGACCCTGAAAGCCAACCCCGTATAACCCTAAGCCGCGATCCGACGCCACAACCGAAACCCTCAGTACACCCAGAGGATTCAGGGAAGCTGAAGACTTCAAGAGCACAGGTCGGGCCCAGCATAGTTCTCTTCCTGTGGTTTGTACCGTAGCCCTATAGCCCCCACATCGGGCGAGGGTTTAGGACGGTTCGGGGATTGATGCCTAGAATCCCAATAAGCCACCCGCTCTAACAGAGCATATTCCCCGTAATTATCATACAATGGCCCTATATTGTGGATCTTTTATTACTAGGGGGTCTAGAATTTCTGATACTCTGTCTGCATGTTGCAGTGATTACACGGGAAGGATATTTGCCTGGAGATTTTTTGGGCTGAGCAAGTTACAGCCGCCTTACCCGACCTCACTCCAAACGGTCTTCACACAGAAGGCAGTCCCAACTTAGCAGACTGGCAAGTTTTGAGACTAGTATACAACCACCTTGTTTCTACCTCAGGAAGAATTTTGATCCTCAGCCCGAGTAGCTTTAATGCCCAACCCCTCCTCAGGAGCAGAAGAAGCGCTGAAAACTACACCACTCAGCACCAAGCCCGTTACCCCTGAACCGAACCCAGAATCTGAAACCTCCTAACCCCAATCCTAACCTCCCAAACCCAAAACCCCCACCTGGAACCCTCAACCGTGCAAAAACCCAGCCCTACCTCTGCAGCCTTTGAGGCGGAGTCTCTGATGGAGGCTGAGGTGTTGGAGCCCCGGGCATTTCTATCGTTCGGTTGTCTATCGTTCGGTTGGAATGAAAGGAGGAACTGGGGAAGAAAATGGAAGCTACCATTGAAGTTTATTGGGGATTAAGGTTAAGGGAAGCCAGAGCTTGAACCCTGAACGCACAGTCCAATAAAACATGGAACCCTGTAGGACCACCCTAACACGGCAACTAGGTGTCTGAACCACACATACCTTGTGTCCTTTGACTATGAATGAAGTTCATTTGGGACTATTTGGATTTGCCGGGCAACTTTAAGGGTTCAGGGTGTCAGGTTCAGCGAAGAGAGAGGTGGCGGGACTTCAGTCCGCCCCGTGATGTGTGCTCCGGGTGCGCAGTGGAAGCAGAGAAAGACGGTTTGGATTTTAGGAGCCTACCTCTTGCAGCCTATGGAGGGCTTGTGGTGTACTGCGGGATCACATCGGGCTTCTAGGGAATATAGATAGGATCAGACATGAATCATGTGATATTGGCTTCGCATATTTGCTTTCCATGCCGGCTCCCCAGCAAACATACAGTCCCTGAACGCCGAACCTCCCCACATCCGAAAGCCCCAAACCCCAAATCTCCGAAGCTTTAAACACCAACGGGCCTAAAGCCCGAAACCTCAACCTCAATACCCCGATTGCAGAACTCTGTTCTCTTCTGCGCATGGCCTGCCTTCAGTACTATAAGCACTAATGCCAGAACTCGCAAGTGGATGCTTCAGGTAGTCCCTGTATAATCTCCCATCATGATGGTCGCTATTCTTGACGCCTAAGCGCTCTGAACCCTAAACCTTAACCCGGCCCTAAACTTTGAACTCGAAACCTTCAGCCGTAAAACCCCAAACCCTGAGCATCGAATCCTAAACCCTGAGTAAAAGATTAGTTCCCCAAGAAAGCGTGATCTGAGGAATCTAAGGCGAACCAAGGGCCCTTTTAGGCGGGTAGCCCCACAAGTGTTGCACAGCCCTTATATGTACTCCCTAGTCTCCCCGTCTAAGCTTTACACAAGCCTTGAGTACGGATGCGCACCTGGTAATTCCCCACCTGAAAATTCCCTCAGCAGGAGTACGCCCCAAAGCCATGCACCACAAACTTAAACCCTACTCTCAAAACCCAAAAAAGTCTAAGCCCTGAAGCGAAAACCCTTTCTTTCAGCTCCTACAGTACAGTCTATGACCTCCAGGCCTGCCGGCCTTCGAAGGCTCCAGGATTACACCCGGCAAGCTGCAGCCCAGGTCGAGGGGCTCTTATCCCCACAGTGCTTATATGAGCCATAGTCAAAACTCCTTAAGGGTGGTTATATAGGGGACCACTGTAGGGGTCATCAAGGGGGATACTAGGAGTTTAGACTGAAAGACCTGGCAGGTGAAGGCCCTGTTGGACCAGAACAACCTACCCACAGATTTGCAGCTGCTTCTGGGCTCAGATTCAGAAGTTTCAAAGCTCACGCCACTGGCGCGGTGTGGGCTGCAATTTCCTTTTAGGGCCCCTTCAGGGTTTAGGGTTTTGGACTGGAGCTCGCCTCTCCCTAGCTTGAATTACGGGATGGACTGTAGGGCAATGTTCTTGGCAGTCAGGGTTTTAGGTTCAGTAGAGGGTCCAGGGTAGACAGTATACAGCTATCACATACTGTACTTCCAAAAACCTGAAGAACGATTGCAGCACAAGATCCCAAAGGAAAACTAAAACATACTGGACTCTGAGCGTTAGGGTGCATGGTAATTTCTCACGACCAGCACAACTTGTAGTAAAAGAGGCATTGGAGAACAACGCCTGAGATGTGCAGGGTTCTGAGGGGACTTCTCCTGACTGATTCTACGAGAAATCCAAGTGTCTGGCTTCGCCCCTATAAGCCCTACGTTGCCCTTACTGTGCACCTCCTAGCCCCCCCAACATGGGCCACATACTGCGGTGCCACAAAAGTTCGACTCACAGAACTACTTGCTCGAAGACGGGTCTCTTCTACTCTGAATTGGCCCCCCATTCCCCCTAGACTCCTACCCTGGCGTCCTAGGGCCTCCTCCGGAGCTTTAAAAATCTTATAAGTTTAAAACGGGGTAGGGGCCACTCCGCTAGCAGGGCCAAGGAAAATGGGACTTCAAGAGACTCGGGGAATCAGATCTTGCCACCCAAATACACGCAGCCTGCCGAGCTCTTTTTTCCAGAGGATTTGGACGTCAAATCACAGGTCCAGAAGGGTTCCTTGAGAAAGGGGAGAACGTGGAGTACAAAAAACAACCTGTTTTTCATGGCCTGGCGCTCGCTTTGCGTTTGACTCTTGACACCCAATTCCACGCTGTATACCCACCCGGAAGCTTCCACATGAAAATTCTCTTGACTGATCGCTGCAACCTCTGTGCTTTGTCCGCAGAAGAAGGAAGATGCATGAAGACTTCACAAGAGTGTATAGGACTTCAATTGAAGGCCTCATGAGGACATATTATGGCTGGTATGGGGAGACATTATACCAGAGACCGAATGACGCCCACCGTCCCTGTAAGTTCTTGGAAAGCCGGAGCTTGAAACTACCCGGAAAACCTTGGAGCTCAAATCCCTAACCAAGCCCATACCACTTCTTCCCTGTCCATCTCCCTGCAATGCCTGCCAAGGCACCGCTACATGCGGGAACTTGTCAAAGTCGCGAACTTGGTGTTTGATTTCGTCTCAACTCTGCCCCTAACTTGCAACCGTAAACCCTACAGCATCGCCAGGACGCAGGTTTTGCGATGAGGCGTGAATCTTTAGGGACGCAGCGTCGCGCTTCATAGTGTGAACTCATATAAGTCCTTGTGATGTCGCTGCAATCCATTCCACTATTTTCTACTAAGCACCCGGGGCCCCACGTAAATCCTGAACCCAAAGAGTATGAGTAGTACCGTAGTTTGCGTTTTGTCTGCCATTTCTACTATGCACCATGGAGTTTCAGATCATTTTTAGATGTGGCTGTCATAACATATCACCGATCCTTTATGGGCTGCTTTTGGGCTTTCATGTTACTTGGGTAGGGTGCCTGCATGATCGAATCGTAATCCTGACTATACAAGTGTCGTGTATTGCATCCCTGAAACGCTGTTCTACTTGATTGGGTCCCTTCACTAGTTCCAAGGTCATTCTGGGCTTGGGGGCTTTCATGCCATGCTGCAGCTCACCAGCGTTCAGGCCTGGATACCTCTGAATGTTTCAAGGTTCCCCAGCTACCTCAGCCTAGATTTCCGGACTCCCTCTGAAGAGGTTTCAATCTGAAGCTATATGATGCAATGAAAACTTTGGAAGGCTTCCTTACTGTAGTTGTGATACATCTCGTCGACAACTCCTGCAGCACTGGCAGGATGCTCCGAAAGACCTGAAGCCTACGAGATTGTAGCTCCAACGCGATTTGTTCAGACTGGTGCAAAACGTGAACTACCCAACAACCAAAGGCCTCAATTTCACGGCCGAAATAATTGCAAGCACCTCGCCATCCATGTTTTGCAGGTGGCATGCTAGGTTGCAAGTGTATTCATACATATCGTCTGCAATGAACAGGCGCCTTGGTTCAAACTTGCGCCAGTTGCAGGATGAGGCAGGCATTTGTTCGCGGGCTCATTCGTGTAGAATGCAGGTGTAGAGTAGTGAGCCTCTCTCATGCAGAATATTTTCTCGGTACACGACTTCCCCGACAGATTTGCCCTGCTCCATGGAATCCAAAATCATATAGCGGCCCTTACAATGACCGAAAGATGCGATCTGCGCGAAGCAGGCTAGGCCAAGGAAAAGCATGCCCTTTTCAGAACATAATCCCTGAAGGATGGCTTGCAGCCTAGGCCCCCGCACCCTGCTCCCCAAACATAGCTCCCTAAACCTTAACCCCCTAGGCCCTTCTAGCTCTATGGATCCCTGCCACGGGGCCTAAGAATAGCCTATAACCCCAAGCTGCTGGGTTGCTGTTAAGGAACTTAGTTTAAGTTACTATACTGGGGAAGCCCTATTATTTACTATA